AATTTCTTTGGTAGGATTAGGGCGATATTTTATATCTTAGTAATATATCGCATAGGTAGGCTTTTATTGTTTGTGTTTCATGTATTCTGTGTGTTTTGATGTATTTTTGTTTTGTTTCGGTGAAGGCAAAAATAAAAGTAATTTGTAATTAAGTGACCTTTTCCATATTTTCCAAATCTTTGACTATTAATAAATACAAGTTAATAATAAACGACTGGTAAATGATAATGAAAGAGTAATATAATATATTTACTATGAAAGCATTACAATATCATAATGAAAGTACTTTATATATAAATGATAGTACATTGAAACATGATAAATGAATGAATGAATTAACGTAATAAGCTAGCGAATACTTTAACACAAAGACAGATATTGTTACGTGGTATTAGCCTTTCAAAATCAGGCCGCATTTTGATTTTTCGTCTATGATTCGGGCTACCGCATTAGGGGAATTAGAGTACAGCGGAGCTGCTCTTCCCCTGAATTCTCCTAATGACATACCAGCCGTAACAAGTGGGGGCCTGACCGGGATGTGTGCTAAGTAGCATTTTGTCAATTTGCATTTTGTTAAATCAATTGTTTCGCCATTTGCAACATGTGATTCCCTTGGTGTTGCACTTTGTGTTTTTATTAGCCGTTGTAACGCATGTTCCCGTTGGTATTTTGATGTGCAATTGACTTCATTACATCTCGGGTAGTTTGGTCATTAAGACGGTCACTTCTTAATTGTGCATCTACTGCACTTCGGTGATCTATGGGTTGTAAATAAGTCTTCGTTTATATTTGGAATTTGACTTTTGCTTGCTTGGTGACCATTTATGGTATTTTACTGTTTTTGTGTTTACTTTAATTGTACGTTTCGTAGTGATTTGGAACACAGGTATTGTAACTGTTGATCACGTTTAAAACATCCTATCTAGCTAGCTAGCTTATTTTCGCCTGTTATTTTTCTTGATTTCATTATGTTCAGTGTTGAAAGTTTCATTGAAAATCCGTCAGCCGAAGCGCTGGTCGGTCTTACTAAAGCCCAGTGGAGTGAGTTAGCCGCTCATTATTGCATCCCTTTTCGGTCATCCTTACGGAAGTATGAAATTCGTACTTTAGTGACTGAATATTTGATAGAACACCATGTGCTGAGTGAGGATGAATTAGAGCACGTGTGTCCTCGGGATGTCACGGTGGCCCGCCAGTATGAACTGGAGAGCCGCAAACTAGACTTGGAGATGTTTAAGGCAGAGAATGAGCGGATGCGTCTCATGCAGAGACCCAATCAGGAACGTTATCCTCATTTCCGTATAGAGGATGCAATTAAGTTTGTTCCTAAATTTAATGAAACCGAGCCAGAGTATTTCTTTATTCATTTCGAGCGTGTAGCTGCCTTGCATGGTTGGCCCGAAGATAAGTGGGTATTACTAGTACACAGCGCATTTGTTGGCAGGGCACAAGAGGTTTTCTCAGCTCTGGATTTGGTACAGTCACAGAATTATCATGTTGTAAAAGAGGCTGTGTTAAATGTTTATAAAAAGGTACCAGAGGCTTATAGACAGGATTTCCGCAATTGCCGTAAAGATGGTAAACAAACCTTTGTTGAATTTATCCGCCAAAAGCAACTTTTGTGTAAAAAATGGGTCGGAGAGTGAACTTGATGCACTCGAGTACGATAAATTACTTGAATTGTTTATACTCGAGGATAAAGAAGTGTATGCCTGTAAAAGTTCGCTCTCACATTGACGAGCGTGGTCTGCGCACATTAGCCGAGGTCGGTAGTGCCGCCGATCATTTCGCTCTAACTAATCCGAACTACTCTTGCAGATCTAATGAGCCTTCATTCCAGTCAAGCCAGCATAGTGGTAAGAGGATGGAGTATAGTGCCAGGACTGAACTGCCAGATACCCACAGGACTGTAAATATAAAGTCGTCAGAAACAGGTGGGGGGAGTAGGAATGTTGCTTCACGCGGTGAGAACTTTTCTTTTTGCCGTTATTGCAAGAAACACGGTCATGTCATGAATGACTGTTTTAAATTGGCAAATAAGCGTTCTGACAATAAACGTATTTTTCACGTCAATGCTAATAGGAGGAAAGAGGTTACATCTATCTATCATGGTAATAAACCTGATCTTGACCTTTCCCTTTTTCCATAGCGAATCTGTAAATGTGACGCCTTCATTTAGACCATTTTGTTCTACAGGATTTCTTAGTGCCGATGAATCGTGCACGTCTTCTTCCCCGGTCACTATACTACGGGACTCGGCTGCAAATATATCATTGGTGCTCAAAGAGGCTGTTCCTAACCCTGACTGTTACACTGGAGAGATGGTAATTATTAATGGACTGATAGGGTCCAAGAACATTCCCATTTGTGAAGTTTACATTAAATCTGACTTGATATCTGGATATGTAAGATTAGGTGTTGTTGATAAGATACCAAGTGATGGCATTTCCCTTCTTATGGGTAATGATCTAGTTGGTAATAAGGTGTGGCCTTGCCCTGTAGTTTTACCTAGTCCCACTAAGGAAAACAATACAGATTTAGAGAGGGAGTACCCTGACCTCTTCCCCGCGTGTGCTGTCACCCGCAGTGCCAGTCGTAGGGCCCTCCCATCCTATCAAAGCGGTTATCCTGGTAATACATTAACAGAGGAGAGCCCAAGTGAGGTAATTACAGAGGAATTCACACTAGCAGACTTCTTTAATTCATCAGCTAAAGTTTTAAGTCAGCCCTGCATCTGACCATCCTGATATAGTGAATTTCAAAGCCACTCCAATTACTAAAGAGAAGCTAATTGAAGAACAACACAATGATCCTGATTTAAAAACATTTTATGATAGGCTTACTGACCTAAGTGATTTAGAAACTTCTCATGTGTGCTACTATCTCCAGTCGGGCGTTCTTATGCGTAAATATAAGCCATATAATATATCTGCAGACGATACAAGAAAGACTGTACATCAGATTGTAATTCCTAAGTCCCTTCATACTGACGTTTTGAATATTGCACATGACATTAGTGGTCATTTGGGAGTCAAGAAGACTTATTACAAGATTTTAGCTCATTTTTATTGGCCAAAAATGAAGAGAGATGTTAGTCGTTATTGTCAGTCGTGCCATATCTGCCAAGTAAAAGGTAAGCCAGGAGCTGGCATCAAACCATATCCCTTGCAACCTATCCCAGTGTTAAGAGAGCCTTTCAGTAAAGTAGTTATTGACTGTGTAGGTCCCCTTCCCAAGACTAAACGGGGTAACAAGTTTTTGTTAACTATAATTGATGTGGCCACCAGATATCCTGAAGCTTTTCCCCTCAGACGCATTACTACTAAGAATGTTGTGAAGGCCTTAATAAAGTTTTTCACCCAGGTGGGTCTGCCTGCCGTAGTACAGTCAGATCAAGGATCGAATTTCACGTCCAAACTGTATGAAAACGTTCTAAAGTCCTTGGGTATACAGCAGTGCAGGTCTAGTGTATATCATCCTCAGAGTCAAGGGGTTGTTGAAAGGTTTCACTATACTCTAAAGACAATGATAAAAGCTTTCTGTTTGGAGACTGGTTCTGAGGGGATGAAGGAATAGATTTTGCTTCTATTTTCAGTTAGGGACAGTGTTCAAGAGAGTCTCGGATATTCACCATTTCAGTTAATTTTACGGCCATGAAATTGCGTGGACCACTAAAAAGTCCCTACAGGAGTGTTGGTTAAATGAGAGGAAGAGATTCCTATAGCTGCATATGTTAACAAATTTAATAGTAGATTACACGCTATTCAATAGCCCATAATCATTTTGGGTGAAAGCTCAGACGAAAATGAAAGACATTTTGATAAAGTAAACCAATTCTGAAGTAAGAACCTTTAAAGAGGGGGGACTTAGTTTTAGCCTTGCTACCTCTTCCTAACCAGCCTCTTCAGTCTCGATATGCAGGTCCATTTCGTATTTTAAAACAAACCATTGATACGAATTATGTAATTGAAACACCTAAGAGGCGTAAGAAACAACGTCATGTTACACGTGAACCTCCTGAAAAAATACTATGAACGAAATGATTTGAAGGAAAAATGTACGAGAGGTTTCAGTAGTTGTACCTTCTAATATCAGTAGTGAAAATAATGAAACTATTCCTATTGTGGAGCCTAATCTCACCAATTCAGTCATCTTAGCTAAACCTGATGATAAACTTAAACACCTTTCTGCTGCCCAAGCAGCAAACATTCGTTCTCTTCTGCAGGAGTATGATAAAACTATTCAGTGATGTACCACATCTCTGCCCTCTGCTGGGAACACGATGTTGAGACTAGGGATGCTAAACCAGTACGCCAAGCTCCCTATCGCCTCAATACCGAGAAGAGGGCATTCCTGCAGGCAGAGATTCAACGTCTGAAAGAAACAGGGTATCATCAGTCCCAGCCTTAGCCCCTGGGCATCCCCTGTGGTCCTAGTTCCCAAGAGTAGCGGCACTTACCGTCTATGCGTGGACTACAGGAAGGTGAATGCGGTAACTGTGGCGGACTCCTTTCCTCTCCCGAGGATGGACGACATCATTGATGATTTGGGGAGGGCACGCTATCTGTCGAAATTGGATCTCCTCCAGGGTATTATCAAGTCCCGTTAACCGAGAGGGCGAGGCCGATTTCTGCGTTTGTCACCCCGGCCGGCCTCTACGAGTTCAGGGTTCTTCCGTTTGGGATGAGGAATGCCCCGGCAACCTTTCAGCGACTGATGAATTACCTGACGGCGGACCTGGAAGGCGTTCGCTGTTACCTCGACGACCTCGTAATCTGGAGCGAGTCCTGGGAGGAACACCTCGTCCGCCTGCGTGCGCTCTTCTCGGCCCTGGCAGACGCCAATCTTACGGTAAACCTGCAGAAGAGTGAATTTGGACACGCTCATGTCACCTTCTTGGGCCACGTGATCGGTCAGGGCCAGGTCGCACCTGTCGCCGCAAAGGTGGAAGCTGTTCTGCAGTATCCCGCGCCCGTCGACCGAAGGGCTTGATGCGCTTCATGGGGATGGTCGGCTACTACAGAAGGTTCTGTAAGAACTTCTCGCAGGTATCCGCACCTTTGACAGACTTGCTGAGTACGAAACGGACATTCAGGTGGTCAGATGATTGTCAGCAAGCCTTTGAAGACCTGAAGCGCCTCTTATGTACCGCCCCCGTCTTGCAAGCTCCTGACATAAGTATACCGTTTACGATACAGGTGGACGCCAGTGACAGTGGTGTGGGAGCGGTACTCTTACAGAGAAGCGGAAGTGAAGTGCTCCATCCAGTGTGTTATTTTTCTTATAAATACAAGTCTTATCAAAAGTCTTATGCCACCGTCGAAAAGGAGGCTTTAGGAATAGTGTGGCCATTGAAAAGTTTAGAATTTATTTAACCAGTTCTATCCATCCAATTGAAATTCTCACTGACCATAATCCGTTAACGTTTATTGAAAATGTTAAGTTTAAAAACATGCGAGTGTTAAGGTGGGCGCTAACATTGCAGCCATTCAATATAAAAATTTTCCATATCAGTGGCAAACGAAATATCATTGCGGACGCACTCTCGAGATCGTAGGTGGTGTGGTCTGCACTCAGTGGCCGCTGACTCGACACTGCGAAGGACAGAGGACAGGAGTATGCTACCGTCGCCCGTCTAG